TTTTTGAACCTTTGAGGATTGAAATTAATGCTGGGAGATTGTATTTGATGATAGATCCACCCTGGTGTAAAGGAAACCTCGAGTTTATGTTGCAAAATCGGGAAATCCCGAATAGTAAATCGGAGAACAATGACGTGATCGTATGGGGTGTGATTCAAGTTGATTTTCAATTGCATTATCATGAGAATTTTTTAACCCTACAGAACTCAAATTAAAGCTGGAAGATCGTACTCGATGGTAGGTTCATTTTGGTTTGAAAGAAACTTCAAAATATCGAACAATCGAAAAATTTCGACTGGTAGTTCGGAGAAAAATAAAGGGAGCCTATGGGATTGCTTCGAATCAATTTCGAAGTATACTCCCGTGGGAAATTTTCATCCTTCAAGTACTCGAATCAAAGGTGGAGTATCGCACTTTAAGATAGCTTCATTTTGATTTAAAAAAAAGAATCGAATTTATATAGAAAAACCGAGAAATCCCGAACGATAACAGTGAGTGAAATAACTGAATTTTTGAAGAGTTGGTGCAAACGGATTTTATTTAAAAAAAACATTCCTGCTAGAATTTTCGAATTTTCGCGGTTTTAAATTAAAACTAGAAAATTGCACTTGCAAAAAAAAAGATTATTCGAAATCTTGGGAAAAAATTGAAAAATTGTCAAATCTTCCGGCATTGGGGGCAGCGGTTTTCGTCAACGGTCTAAAATATTGATAAAACCGTACGCTCCGGTTTTGTTAATTAGATTATCCGAGTCGACACTTTCGGCTGTTAGCGTACACGCGCCGGCCATTTTCTGCGAGTTTATTCAATGGATCAGGCGTACTATTAAACTGCACTACCGGCAACGTAAAATCCTTGCGATCCCGACAAAAGGAGTCGACTTTCCCCGAGTCTATCAGTTATTTTTAGAACAATGTTCCGCGAACACGATAGTATTCGCGGCGAAAGCAGATCCGTTATCATTCTCGTCAAACATTCCATACTTTCGGCGAAGTTCGCCGAACAAAGCTCCCAGAGGTCTATTCTCGCAGCGTTTTCTTTCATCTCGCTCGGCCGAACTTGGAACACCCTGTACAAGTACTCAAATATTTCTTTGTTCTTCGTTCACCGGCTCCTGCTAATTACGTACCGACTGCGTCGCTAACTTCCGCCATTTTCTTAAGACCCCTAAGAGCTCGATGCAAACATTTCCGCGAACTTTACTTAACAAATCAATCCTTTACACTCGCAAACGAAGTTTCTTTCCCGGTACTATTGGGAAACTTCGGAAGGTGATGGCTGCATATTTTCGAAAGCATCGATACAAATCGGTGTAACAAAATCGATTAAATACGAAAATAGGTAACAAAAAAGATCATCTAATCAAAGTCGTTCTACTGAGACTGAGTATGATCACGTTCAGACCTGTCTTTAGAACGTTTTCTTGCTCGTACAGCTCGACAATGTCCAGTTCGTTCGCAACGTTTTCCAATTCGCTAATCACTTTTTCTCTACTGCTATAAAAGCACGCATATTCGATGTAAAAAATGCTGAAATTGTCTGCTACGCTGCCGAAACCGAGGCAGATTCTGCGAGGCGGACTCGCAGCCATGGTTGTCTTTCGTTGAACCGATGCGAACAACCCGCGTCCCCGAGAAGTTTCCGCGTCGCGGAAACGGGGAATCAAACAGCGATCATTTCAACGACGTTCTCTTTTTTGCAAATCTGATAAGCGCATACTTTTCCCAGTTCAGCGAGGGCTCTTTGTCCGATGGGGATCGTTAACATCGTGGCGACAATTAAACGTGCATATTGAAAACGAAGGCGTAAAACAGCCGAGCGATTGCCGGGACGGATTGAACACGGCCCTCGACAAAGGAAACTGTTACCGTATTCGAACGACACTTCGTGCCACAATTAACCGCCGCGATTTTTCTTTGCTGCGTTACGAAATAAAAGTTGCGATCGCATGCGCCCCCGTGGATCGTTTCACAGCGATATTTACGTCGCTTAATTGAAGCCAGAAATATCGGTCATCCTGCCCCAATGAAGAAAGTTGTTTTAGAAAAGTGAGAGAAAGAGAGAGAAAGAGAGAGAGAGAGAGAGAGAGAGAGAAAAGGTAAAATTCTTTGCGCTTGTCTCGTCTCAATGGTGTCATTAAACCCGGTCGCGCGCGCTTTACGGTGCCTCATTTTATGAACGATTCCAGGAGTTTGCGAGAACCTATCAAGAAACTGGAATTTCAAGTTCGTTCGGCAGTCGAACCCCGAAACTCCATCGAAAATTGAAAATGAAATGTCGGAAGTTCCCACGGTTATGTTGCGAATCCCAAATAGCCGAGTTTTCCATGCTTGATTTCGAGATTCTTCTGCATACAGAATCGAAATTGTAACGAGAATTTGCGAAAGTGTGTCCCGATGAAGTTCACTCGCTCGTATTTACGCAATCGGTGCTCGAACACGCGTATGCATATATTAACGCGCTAATAATTTAATCATTTCTCTGCGACACTTTTGTAGAGAAGCATCCGTTTTCGGGATCGCGTTAAGTGTTTCTTCGACCTGTGATCTACTTTACTTCCGTCGTTGATTCTGCGAACGATGAATGAAAAATGGAAAATGAAAAATGATCGTTGACGGCAGCTAAACAAGCTTAAGGTGCTAGCTAAAACGAGTATATGATAGTATTTATAACACACTTTTCATTGAAATAACATGTACAGGTTCATATGTAAAGTTTATTCATTTCCATTGCTAAGATCATTTATTAAATGGACTTCTCTTACGAAACAGAGTTTAATAAAGGAAAATTGCGCGCTCTCTGGATATTATGACATGCGTTCTGACTTCAAAATAACGGGTATTCCAATTGATTTATCTATTTTTATGTACGACGATGGTAATGGACAACGTGTCACTTTGACTGCAATTGAAGATTAAAATACCGGCTTTTAGAAGCTGTTTCGAGAGAACTGCTTCCTGTCGCATAAATATTGTAATTACGAGCTGTTCGAAATTATTTTTAACGAGATCATATTTTATTCACGATAACAATACAAATTCTTGGGCTTCACGATCACTCGGAAATCGTCAAGTAAGAAAATGTGGAGTACATAAAGAACAAGTTGTTTGAGATTAAATACCAAAGTTTTATGCGAATTTTCGAGAAGATTGCTGCTTTACTGATCAGAAATCGCAATCTATTTGTGTGAAAGACATAACTAGACAAATGAGATTTGCATATTTAAAATCGTAACGACTGATTAATTAACTCCCACAGTGTTGTGCTTGCATCCCGAGGTCTCGTAATACCCTAGAATCGACGAGTTAAAAGAACGATTAAATTAAAAAGTTCGAACGTTCTATTCAAAGTACTCTAATCGCGAGCCGCCAAGAATATTCGGCTATTAAAAACCAGTTCCGCACAGTTAAACGGGTAATCATTCCAGTCAAAGTACTGGCCGAATACTCGGTTACAATGGCTACAACTCCTAATAGCGTTACAAAAGCAGTTATTCCAATTTCCCACCCTTTTGCTTGATTCGCGGAGGTCAGATTCGAAAATAGCAGTAATTTCGAAATCCAGGACTGCGTCCATTATTATGCACTAAGGATATAGTTTCCGGCGGGGGGGGGTGCTTGAACTCGAGTAATGAGTTACATCCTATGTTTCGTTTAAGGGAATTATTTTTAATACCAAAACTATCGCACCATTGACAAATTTCGACGAACAATCTGCGGATAGCATTTTCAAAAATTGGTGAATATATTTATTTACCGGAATGGAATGCATCGCAAATTCGCAAATTCTACGTAAATGTAATTTTGCTATTTTTACAGCGTTTAACCGGTCCTAGAATTAATCCTTTTAGGCAACAAAAATATATTAAATGAGAGTTTCAGGCTAGAAAAATTCAAGTATTTCATGTTAGAATAACATTGAATTATGGAAATGCTGTAGCTGACGTAAGTTGGAAAAAATTAGTTGGAAACTGTATTCAATGCTAAAGAACATTATTGAAATCGTGGTGGTGCATCCATGAATAAATTTCTTTGCCCAATGACGTGTGCGAATAAAAAACGCGCAAAATCTAGGTAAATTGAATCTTGTCATTTTTGATTAAACAACATGGTTTGAAATTTGAAAAATGTGAGTCGAGATAAGAGATAATGGAAATCACGCAAGCTTGGTCACATTTCACTTTGAATAAAATCAAAGTGCATCCAGTTGAATCACACGAAGGAAAAACAATCACTTCACAAAGAACAAACTACGCCAGTACATTTTAAGAATCACTTGAGCCATTATTTGAATCCGAATCTATCGAAGTGCGAGCTAAAACATTATATCATTTGATAGGCTGTCAAGAGAAAAGCCATCTCAACGTATAAATAAACTGATACACATCTTTCAAATATATTTATCAAACCTGGTACGAAGGACAGAAAACTTAGGCAATTTTTTTTCCAAGGAAATACAACAATCATAAAGAAAATAAGGCATGGACATTGAGGCTGCTACCAGAGCTAAGCAAAGTATATCAAATAATAAATAATCTATTTCAATTTGACACACTTTGACTGCCAACCCAACAACCACAAAAATTGACTGAGAATTTTTAAAATTTTAAAATTGAAATATGTGATACCGTGCATTTCTCAATCCACTCACATTCTATGAATCCAAATCAAAGTCGCGCATAATATATTAACATAAAAAATAATTTTCTAATTTAAAAAAGTAACTCCGTCACTTGTGCGTACGGCTAACGCGACAGTCATAGTGTTACACAGAAGATAGATACTTTAAACAATATTTTATTTAGAGAGCATTGAAAATCATATGGAATGTATTCGAAATATTTATTTAAACTATTTCTGTATTCCCGACTGATTTTAAATTTTAGTCGGCGTTGGTAAGGGGTTGATGAGGAAGCTATGGTGAACCAATTGGAACGATGATGAAATTACTCAAACAAATGAGGAATGAAAAAGCTTCAGAAACGAGTAAGAACGACTTACCGCGCGCACACGCGTGATGCTTCGACAGTGGACCGTGTCAGCCAATGACGCGATGATCTGAGGGCATAACTGTTGCTCTTCTGGGGGATGACGATCGCACGGGATGCGTCGCGACGCCGAGGGATGCCGCGTGCCGTGCAAGCGGACAGACGGTGCGCGACTGTGCGCCGAGCACCCTCGCGATCTCCCTTTTATGGGCCTTCTCGCGACGCGTCTGCCCGCTGCTTCTCTGCCCCCTTTTGTCCCCTTTAGCCCCCTTTTAACCCCCTTTTACCGCGCACCCCTCATCGAACCGCTTTCGCATTTTGCGAAAACGCGGCCAATCATGGCCAGGTAAAGGTACCATTCCACCAGGAACAATCCCACACGCAATTGCCGAACAGCTCCCCTTTTCATTAACGCGCCTCGTATGGTACCGCTCGCATAATCGAAAGGGCCTATCCGGAGAGAAACGATTCTTAATTGCTCGGTTTACACCCGAAGTTCCTCTGTACCTGCAACAATAAAAGTTCCGTGAAAGCTACCTAACAACACAAGCGAAAAGTTATCACTAGTCCGCGAACTTTCACGCATGATCTCACTTTTCCCAAAAGTTGTTTTACAAACATTAGAATAAGCGCGTAACACTTTACGTTGCTACTGATCAAAATGAAACAAACGTACTTGCAATCTGTGCCTACATTAAGATCCACTAGTGCACGCTCTTTGATTTTAATAGTGCTAACTTCTGTTTCATGTCCATTGTATACTGAGAAATTCATCCTTTAAGAATTTCTTTGCAATTGCTTATCAAAGCTAAGAGAATGGGTGGTTTCTGATTTGAAGATTGCATAATACTTCCATGATGTATAATTTTCTCAGTGTGATAGCAAATGATACAAATAGGAATGATTTGCGCAACCTTTAATATCGTACAAGTGATTGATTTAGGAGCTTGATCAAGCGTAGATTTCATTTTAAGCAAATAAAGATTGAGCAAAACGGGTAAGGTTTTATTGTAAATTCGTCGCTTTTATTATAGACTCAGGTGTACATACAAACAAATATGTATAACAAAAATTACGTTTAGACATTCGTTCACGGTAGCTTTCTTTTGGCTGGTTCTTCGTGTACTCTAACTTGGAGCGTGGAACGGGGTCCACACTTCCAAACGTTGCCATCCTTGTCAAGTATACTTGCGCTCGCTGTGACTTGATACTGTCCGCCCCCTGTGTTCGTGTTGCTGTTTACACTGGAGCTGCTGCTTGCGCATGCAGTCGTTCCCGTTGCATTGCTTCCAAGGGAGAGTAGAAACTCGCAGGCGAAGAAGTCACGATGCGGAGTAACTGTTTGTTGCAGTTCATTTGCGTTGGAATCCTGAAGAACAAAAACGTTTCTAGAGATGCCTTTTTACTTATTAACAATAACCGAATTGTACTTGAAAAATTGCAGATTAAGAACTGAGAATTTCTCTAATATTTCATTGAAAGTTCCTGTTGATAGCCTTCCAGTAACTAAAACGATAGAATCTCAGAATTCCTATGGTAGCAACATTTCTGAATCTTCGGTAAAACCAACATCCTCACCTTTTGGTCTGAATTGATCTTGGACGGTGGAGTGGTGGAAATGGAAATGCAAACGGCAGCAACGGACCTGTAAAGGGAAGCGCGACGACCATGTCGCAAAACTCCCTCAACTTTGAGGGCCAATTGGCTACCCTGAGGCACGGATACAGGTTCGCCAAGTACACGGGGTTGCGGTGAGACAGACAACTTCACAGTAGTTGACTGTAACGACTGGAAGTAGTAACGAGGTATCGGCAGCCTCATTTTCTTTCCAGCCAATAGCATCACTTGCGAGATTAAACAGTTCACTCTGGAATGACTAATGGCCGCGTTCTTTCCTTCGCTGATCCAAGGCGGTGCCAGACGCCGCAGTTCTGTACAACAACGAGCCAACTGACGCATCTCGACAGTGTCGCCGAAATCAAAGTTTACGTCGCTCTGATGATATGTACAAATTCCTGAACCACCGCAGACCCGTTCGACGCTGTTCGCTAGCAAACGACACATTTCTTGCAATCTACGTATACTCAATAAAGGAAAACTGTACTGAAATTTATGTGTAGAGACAGAACTTCCACTTGTCCAACCAATTGAAATCTTGGAAAGTATGCAACAAAAAATCACAGTGCATTCAGGTGGAAGTTCTCGTTGACTGATCCTATACATATTGGTAAAGGATACGCTTTTATATTTGCCAATGAACCGGGATCAGCGTCAAAAGCCGACTGATATAGTTTCTGATAGTTGTCAGCACAATTTTTCAATTCTTGGGCCGATTTTCTCAACTAAAAAGCATTCAGTAATAATAATGATGATGTAGTTTATGATAATTCTAAGAAAATGCGAACAAAATACCTGATGCGTTACTCGACCATAGCGTTGAAGGTCATCTTTTGTCGCGAGCACTACTGTGACTGCAATGGCTGGCGGTGGAGCTGTACAAAGTGATCTAAAATATATTCGTCGATTTATTTATTTTATGTTTATTACTGTACATTCATGTAAGTGAAATAAATACATTACCTGCATGAATGTAATAGTTGAACAATAGCTTGCAGAAATTCACAACGGAGTTTTGAATACTCGCTAGCAAATTGCAAACTTCGCAAAGGCGTACTAGCAGCTTTTAACGATGCACATGCGCTAGCATAACGTGCAATAGCTCCGTTCAATTTTTCTACGATGAAAACTTTCGCTTTGTTCTCCGTTTCCTCCGTCTTTTCCCTATAAACAGTAACATTTAATAAATGAAGATACACTTGCAAACAATTTCACAAATCTAGAACAGATTCTACGAACATAAGATGACTTTCGGCTTTTGTAACTAATTCTAGACCAGATAACCAGAAGTGCAGTTGTTCAGAAGCAACTGTTTCCTTCAAACTTTTAAATATTTGGGTTGCTATTGTATGATGACCATATCTTGCAGCACTACGCGCAATTCGGTACTTGGCCCAACCGTCTACATTTCTGATAACTTCCTCCACTGCTTCGGTGCATTCTGTATTCCATTCGTAGCCTCCAGCCACCATTTGAAAAAGTAATGTGCACAACATGACCTTTGAAAGAAATTTATTCACGTCGATTAATCGTACTCATTTATGTGTCCAATAAGTTTGTACTTTACCTTCGTATGCACATGTAAAGTTTGCTTAAGCTTTGTCAATATATCCGGTAAAAGTGAAAGTAAAGTGTTTTCTCCTAAGCTTCCAATGGCACCTAAAGCTTCGCACAAAGCGACCGCTTGTTTCTCACTCTGACCACCTTCGCTATTTGTATTGAAAAGGGTACCACCGATTGCATCAACAAATACCGAACAATGAGTAGATTGTGCCCAACACAGCTTCACTGTCGAGCGCAGACAAACTCTTAGTTGATGCAGATATTTGTCATCCAGAGCTAGTAATACAATTAAAGATTCAAGGCAAGATACAACATCTTGTATCCCATAGGCGGGTAAACTTTCTTCGTAGCTACAAGTATGAATTTAATACAGAAACCTCTAATAAATAATTAAATTCTTCCAATATGAGATCAGATACATACCAGTAACATGCAACTCTGGATAAAATCGTAATTGCTTTTACTGCTACAAAAGGGTCAGGAGAGTAACAGGCACTTACACATAAAGATAACAAAGGATTTCCTTCTTCCCTGTTTGCATCGCATGTAACTGCACTCTGACTAAGCACCTAGATAAAGTTAAAAAATTTATTGTTAATTTCTTAAATCTGTGAAGTCTTGACTTAATTTTATAAATAATCAACAACCTCGATCACATCTAGTGTTCTAATAAGAAGATCTTTGTTTCCAGCACCATCTTGTAGAAGTGTTGTAGTACTTTCTAAAATATCAAGTTTGTTAAATACATTTTCTTTGTAATACAAAATTATATACATGTTACATTTACCTATTAAATTATTGAGTGCACCTTGTGGCCACAAATGTGCTCCTTTCCTTGCTAAACTATGCAGTAGATGTAAAGCGTGACGCTTGATGGATAATCTTGGATCATCTTGTAGATAACGTAAGAGAAGTACAACTTGTTGTGGAATATCAATTAATGTAGCAGAAGCTAAAGTACTTAAAGCACTTAATGTCACTCTAACAAATTCAACTGCTGGATAATTAGCAAGAAGCTCCATGCACAATTTATTTACCTGTAATGAATGTAATATATAAAATCGTTTAAATATATCTTCATCAAATTGACATACCATTGAAGCTGTATAACTATCGTGATGCATATATTGCAAAATAGGTATAAGCTGTAGTTTCATTGATGCTGGTGTTGCTTGACCTCTAATCATGTCAGATATTTTGCTACACATGGACACTGCAAACAGTTTTGATTGCGCAGCAAACATTTGTGCTGCATATATTGCTGCTTCAACTTCAACCGAATCATGAGAATCCAATGACCTCCTTATACTATGATGAACCTTAAAAATTTGATAATTTCTTACATTAAACTTCACGTAACTAAAATCAAATTTTAATTCATGAATTTATTATTTACCTGTTGTCTTTCTGGAATAATTCCAGCTACGCTGCCTAGTGTCCTTAAAGTCAAAGCTCTAGCAACTGGATCATTAGAATGTATCACACTATAAATACGACGTACAAATTCATCAACATTCAGAATCTTATCTAAATGCTTCTCACTTTGTTGGCATACTCTGAGCACCCATACACGTAAAAAATTACTACCAGTACGAAAAACTTCAGCTAACTTTAATAGGGAAGAATTGATCAATATAGGAAAAGGATATTTCTCAAATAGTCGTGGAAAACGTACTATTGCTTCACATTGTTCTCCAATCTTTGAAGAACGCAAACCTGGAAAAATATATTTAATGTATAATCGCTGAATTATAAACATTTAATAAATACTAGGAAAATTGTGATTCGAATTTAAACTACAAAACATAAACACACCTTTATCTAATTCTATGAGGGCTGTATTTGCATCTTGTTCCGGTTCGCCAAGTCCTGTGTCATTAAATGCATTCATTCGCATTCCAATCATTTTTGTTAATGTACCGGGTACATTCAATTAAAGCGTTATTAATTGTTCTTCATGACATAACCAATAATTGGTTTTGCGATATTTACAACGCTCCGAGTATTTATGAATGGTCTTACCAACTATACATACATAGTACATAAAAATGTCTCACAAATCCGGAAATAGGGGGTTCCTAGGGTTATTTAAAGTAACTTTTTTCGTAGTAAAAATGAAATCCGCGGCTTTGTTTACGTGTTGGCGCGAGACAGCCGAGCCAATGAGCAGAACTGGGCTTCCTGCGCTCGTTGGCTGAGCCACCTCCACTAGTCGAGCTCGCCTTTCATTGGTCAGTGTCTTTCGTTTAATAACTCGTAAACAAAGCCACGGATTGAATTTTCGCTAAAGAAAAAAAGTTACTTCAAATGACCTCGGAATCCCTCATTTCCGGATTGCGAGATATTTTTGGGACACCCTGTATATTTTGTATTGCATGAATACATACATATGTATATGCATACAGTATGTATATACATACGTATGTATATTTAATATACTCAATATGCAACAAATATTTATTTTAACTATTATGTATACGTATACATATGTGTATATCAACTAAACTTAGATAATTTATTTCAGAATTGATTTACTGTTCTAGAAAAAATAAATTCAATTTCTAACTTTCAATTAAAAATTCCTACTTCCAATATTTTCTAGCATAATGTGTATGTAATGATAATATTTTACGAAAAATGTATCTGATAAAAATCTATAATTTTCTTCTTGGAAGTAATTGTATTGTTTATACATTTAATTTTATTTTATACGATTTAATTCTTTTGATCAAATGACAGTTGTGTACAACCAATATATTTTCGATTTGACGAAGTTGAGAAATACTGATATATACATCGAATGAATATCTCGTACGGATAGGAGTTTTGTCTGTGTTCACGTCAGTGCAGTTGACGATTAAACTTTGCCAAGTGAGGGTGTCTAGTTTCTACGTTCTAGGAAAGCGAGGAAACATTTTTTATTGCGATTACATTTAGAAAATATCTAACACGATAAGAACTTAATATTAAAGAAGATTTATAGTTAACCTGAAGAAGAATGGTGGACTACAGCAAGTGGAAAGATATTGAAGTAAGAACCTCCATTTTGGTCCAGTATACTTACGGAATATTCTAGAGTGGTAGTAGAAGATATTTCCGAAGATATAATTTATTTATTACTTTAGGCGAACTTAATGCAGTCAAGTAGAATGATATTAAATGTTTTCATTCAGTTGAATTCATTTCTTTTTTATTTATTACATAAAAAAATATTGTATTTACACAATTATTTCTTATATGTATTGAATTATTAAAATCATATAAATATTTTATTTTCACTATGGACAAAAAATTTCTTGAATTATTTCTACCTCTAATCAGATAATTTCATTAAAATATTAGTGTGTGCAAATCTAGTTGTGTCTATCTATTTGCTTTGTTATGATAAAGCATTTTTCCTTCGTAAAGTCACAAATGATAAGTAAATTTAAATTGCTTTTCACTAGATCTCCGATGATGAAGATGATACCCATCCAAACATTGACACGCCATCATTATTTAGATGGCGACATCAAGCCAGAGTTGAAAGAATGGAAGAACGACGACGAGAACAGACGGAACTTGAAAAGAAAAAAGCAGAGTATGTTTAATTTATTTATTTTTTGTAGAGAACTGATCTTCTATGTTGCCCCATAATTGTTATTTATTTGTAGAACACAGAAGCAATTAAAAGATACAAAAGAACAGCTTGTTAAACTAGAAAATGAAAAAAAGGATTTTGGTGATATAGCATTTACATTGAAAAAGGCTTTGCAAGATCTTGAAGAGGAAGAGAAAAAGATTAAAAACAAGGAGGAAGAAATAAAGAAGAAGGAAAAGTTAACACCATGGAATGTAGACACTATTGGTCAGGATGGTTTCTCCAAAACTGTGATTAATACAAGGCCAGCTCGTAGAGATGATGATTCTGGCCTATCTGATGAAGAAAGAGAGAAGAAATTAAAACAATTTGCTAAAGACAACGAAAAGGAATTGAAAGAATTTGGTATGTTAAGGAAGTATGATAGTAGTAAGGCATACTTGCTTTCACATCCACAATTGGTGTGTGAAAATACTGCAAATTATTTAGTGATTTGGTGTATTAATTTGGAAATGCAAGAGGTAATGATGTACTTATTATTTGTGTTAAAACTTTGAATCACTATTCAAGCATACTTGTATTGAAAAGAATATTCTTTGTTATAGAAACACGACTTAATGGAACACGTTGCTCATCAATGCATGTGCATACAATATATCTTGGAATTATCAAAGCAATTGGACGTTCCTCCGATAGCATGCATGGGTTCCTTCTTCAATCGCACTGAGATTGCCGAAGTTGAATATAAAAATTCATTCGACGATGAACTTAGGGCATTCAAAGAGAGAATACGTAAAAGAAGTGCCGAGAAAATAGCAGATGCTCTTAAAGAAGCTGAAGAAGAAGAAAGGCAAGCACGTCTTGGCCCTGGTGGTCTTGATCCGACTGACGTATTTGAAAGTCTTCCAGAGGTAAAATTATATTTTATTGATATTGAAAAATACTATCTTAACTAACGACACATTTGTCATGATGATCCATTTTTTCAGCCTCTACAAAAGTGCTTTGAAACGCGAAATATTGCTTTATTGCATGAAACATTAGCGACGATGTCTCAAGCAGATGCATGTTACCACATGGAACGGTGTATTCAGAGTGGTCTTTGGGTACCTGATGCAAAAGTTGCAGAGAAACTGAAGAAAGATGGTACATTATTAAATGATATAAAAGGTGATACAAAAGATGAGACGCAAGGTAAAATGCAAGACGAAACACAAAGTGATACACAAGGAACAGCAGATCCTGAATAACGTGAATCTTTAAATTATGTGTGTTGACATTCTTAACTCATTTATGCAAGTATCTTTTAGATTCATGAGTATGTTACAATAAAATGTTGTCAGTGGACAATGAAATATGGAATTCTTACCATCGTTGGCTTCTTATTGTAAGAACTTTGTATTATCGTGTTACGTTTTGGATTACTTTAAGACTGAATTATCGCATAATTCCTACTTATAATAGGATGTGTGAATACAACAAAAATCGTTGATTATACAGAATTATTATGTCGAAAAATGTAATATGTTTTACTCTAAGTGTATTGCGTTGATCATTTTACATTTTCGTCTAATATAACATTTGCACATATTAGTATTGTATATACACCGTTAAACATAATAATTGCTTACCCCATTTATGTTTCCCGCAAGAAATAACGAAGAACAATATTCCCAACAAAGGTACAATATTATCGGTAAAGAATGGCAGTGCCAAACACATAAAATGCTCTCTCAGTAACAAACCCATTTAGATTTTAATCTTTTACTGTAATTAAATGCCTACAACATTGATAACGGGTAATAAAATAATCAATGTAAAAACGGTACCAAATATTTCTGTTATTAAAATTCAATTTTTTAGTGAGTTTCTAAATCCAAGTAGGAATGCTGTTCTTTGCAGTATTTCTCAAAGCGTGGAAATGGGATGGACATCTACTTTGTTTACTGGTGTACACGTCATGTAATGCAGGCAAAACACGTAAATGTGTATATACATTTTCCCACGTACCCCTCAAGTGAACACTTAATCTCTTTCGGTGTTACTTCATATGTATATTGAAAACTGTATAAAAATTAAAATTAATATAAATAAAGAAAGTATATCCAAGTTTTCTAAAGTTTCGATAACAATGTACGTGTTTTCTATGAATAGATAAGTACAATTTTTTTATTTATTGTTGATTCAACAATATCACCTTAAAAAAATTGCGTTCTTAAAATTATTATTTCTTTTAGAAAATTAATCTAAATAAAATTGTCGAAATAAAAGAATTTAAAAATTTATTTGCTACTTTGCAATATGCAATAATACTGCTTACAGTAACTAATTCCGATTTGTTTTACCCGCTGTATATCGAACGAGATATCGAAGTACGATATTGCGAGATATCGATTTTTCACCGGAAGTTGTAAACAATCGTATCTCGAACCAACGACCCTTTCTTCCTTTTCCGGTACGACGTGCCACGGGCGTTTGGGTAATATTTTTCGTCTTTCATTCTCGTCATAATACGTTAGTTTCATCGCCTGCGAATACACAAGCTGGCTTTCATTGGACAGGGTAAAACTATTTACTTTATTAAAAATCAATTTTTTTGGATTAAATTCATTCTTTACTAAAATTATTCGATTCGATTGATTTTACCTGCAATCTATACCCAATCTGATGGAAAACGTTAGCTTTTAAACATTTACATTGCTTCATAAAAATGCTTTTATACTCTGCATGCCGACATCATTAACGTTTGTACAGTTACCCACTACACACATTCGTCACCTGCTTCATACAAATTAAGCGATTAAGTAGATTGAAGCAAGATTAAATCTCTGAGCTCCAATATATTACGCATTTACGGTTTCCACGAGCGACTTAAGCTGAATTTTCAAAGTACTTTACTGTTTATAATCGAACGTTACGATTCTCATGAGATTACGAGTGAAGGGACTCGTATTGATTAATTACGATTCGGATGAATCGACGCGTATTTCAATCAGCACAATCAAATAAATGGTAATATCGAAAAACGCAAATTGTTAAGCATGCTTGTATGATCTGCTCGATCATCGTAATTGCGCATATACAGAACAATCGAAAAACCGTCGCCAGGCATTCTGGGTAAAATATCCATGAGTAATCAAAATGGCTGTCTTACAACGATTTCCGTTCTACGTCTACGTTTGAACGTAATTCGTGAAACGGTAATTTTTAAAATGCATTATCCACGAGGTCGTCAGCAATAATTATATAAAGTTTAGTGAAACGTGATTTTTCTCATATTTTATATAGACATGTGACGTTTTTATTTTATTTAAAAGATGTTTGTAATAAAGAGGGAGGGAATAGACGGGGAGGGGAAGTACGTGCTGCGCGCACGCGCGCGCGTTGCATGATGGGACGACAGTCAGGAGGACGGTCGGGGAGGGCGAAAGAACGAGTCGAGTTCACAAAATGGCGGCCGAGCTGAGGCCCGTGACCATATAGTACGTGAAAATTCGATAATTTTGCACGATGTCGCGACTCTATACATCAATGGTCGTTTAACATTACGAATACGTGTATACGCGGTAGTTTAATTGTTAAATTAACGTGATCTTGTGCGTGGTGCGTGTAATATCGAGATATCGGTGCGACGCGCAGACGGGACGATGCAGGTGAGTGGTTGGGTTCGAAAATTGTTTAATTTTTGGCATTCCTTGGGATATTTTACCAACAATTGTTTGTTTTTATTGTAAACGCAAACATAATTGGTACTTTTCATGAACAATTTGCGCGATATTGCCACGGTGCTGTTTGGAGTAGGGAAAAATCACATTGTCACATGCGTTTCAGTGTAGTATGATCAGGAAAATACCTGTAAAAATGTAAAAAATCATTGTAATTTGTTCGAAATGATTTCTGCGTGTAGGGCGGGGCCCTATGGACCTTATGAGCTCAGGGACTTATCTCTGCTAAATCACAATTTTTCATAACATTACATAGTTCCCAGTCTCTTAATAACCTATATGTTTGTTTACATTCGTTCAATCTGACATTTATCACAGAAAATATCATTGTTCCACCCTAATTTTCGTTAAAAATGATTCCTTGCATTCTCCTTCATCTTAGGCTCATGGTTAATAAAAAATTTGAAATGGACCCATTTTTGCAAATTAAGCTCAAAGATTGTGATGCACATTCTCTTCACTATGGTAGAGATTGTGTAGCAGAATCTACTTTGAAAGTTAGAGGAATTAAATGTTCTTCAGTTGGAAATTATTAGGCATATTCAAACATTTTTCTTCTAAAAGAATCCACAGATTTCTCTAATATTTGAACATTTTTTCTCTTGTGGACGAGGCTTGATTCTTTATTTTTCCTCTACAGAATTCAGGAAACTTGGATTTCCATATTTGGTGCATCATGCAGTCATTTATGTGTTTGTGATTAACAGAAAGATGAGATATTTATGACCATCATTTTATTTTTGAACAAAATCTGTTAATGATTGTTGCAAAATTAAAACAGAAAATGATTAGTATCAATCAATAGAAACATTTCCAATAAAGATCCTGTTACAATATTTGTTTCAACAATAAAATAATGTGGAACATTCTTTGATGTTTCTCTTAGAAATATCTTTAGAAGTTACATAATCTTCAATCTCCTGTAACGTATATTGTATTATCATCCCCTGATGGTAACAAAAGTATATAAAAGTAAACACTGATAATTCAAAAATGCTAAACAGTCAATTTTATGCATTCATTAATGTGTATCTAAAAATTATTGACAATGTATATAAAATTTCAATATTTCAAGTAATAATGTATGATT